CCAGAAATACCATTTGACCCAGCAATCCCACTACTGGTTATATACCCAAAGGATTATACTTCATTCTACTCTAAAGACACATGCACACTTATGTTCATTGTGGCACTATTCACAATAGCAAAGACTTGGAACCAACCTAAATGCCCATCAGTGATAGACTGGATAAAGAAAATGTGGCACATATACACCATGGAATACTATGCAGCCATAAAAAGGATGAGTTCATGTCCTTTGCAGGGACATGGATGAATCTGGAAACCATCATTCTCAGCAAACTGACACAAGAACAGAAAACCAAACACCACATGTTCTCACTCATAAGTAGGAGCTGAACAATGAGAACACATAGACACAGAGAGGGGAACATCACACACTGGGGCCTATCGGGGGTGAGGGGGGCTAGGGGAGGGATAGCATTAGGAGAAATACCTAATGTAGATGATGGGTTGATGGGTGCAGCAAACTACCATGGCACATGTGTACCTATGTAACAAGCCTGCACGTTCTACACATGTACCCCAGAATTTAAAGCACAATAATTAAAAAAGAAAAAAGAAAAAACACTGGTGAAAACGGACAAAGTTGAAGGACAGATGCTAACCAACTTTAAGACTTACTATAAAGCTGTAGTAATCAAGAGAGTATGGTATTCAAGACAGAATAGCCAGAGCAATGGAACAGAAAAGAGAGTGCAGAAACACACAAATACAGTCAACTGCTACCTGACAAAGGCACAAAAGCAATTCAATGGAGACAAGAGAGTCTTTTCAATAACTGGTGCTGGAACAACTGCATATTCATGTGCCAAAAATAACCCCAGAATAATCTGGACACTCATCTTACACCCTTCACGAAATATTAACTCAATCTGGATCATAGACCTAAATGTCAAACAAAACTTCTAAAAGAAAACAAATGAGAAAATCTAGGTGTTTAGCAAAGAGATTTTAGGTACAGCACCCAAGTCATGATCCATGCAAAAAAGTTGATAAGTTAGACTCCATTACAGTCTGAAATTTCTGCTTCACAAAAGACACTGTTAAGAGAATGAAAGAACCAACCACAGACTGGGAAGAAAATATTTGCAAAGCACACATCTGATAAAAGGCTTGAATCCAAAATATACAAAGAACTCTTAAAACTCAATGGTGGCCAGGTGCAGTGGCTTATGCCTGTAATCCCAGCACGTTGGGAGGCCGAGGCAGGTGAATCTCTTGAGGCCAAGAGTTCAAGACTAGCCTGGCCAACATGGCAAAACCCCATCTCTAATAAAAATACAAAAAATTAGCCAGGTGTGCTAGTTTACGCCTGTAATCCCAGCAACTCAGCTGGCTGAGACATGAGAATTACTTGAATCTGGGAGGCAGAGATTGCAGCGAGCCGAGATCATGCCACTGCATTCCAGCCTGGATGGCAAAAGATCTTAACACTTCCCCAAAGGTGACATATGGATGGCAAATAAGCATACAGAAACACATTAAATATTATATGTCATTTGAGAATTACAAATTAAAACAATGATGAGATACTACTGTGCATCTATTAGAATTACAAAAAAAAAAAAAAAAAAAAAAAAAAAAACCCTTGACAATACCAAATGCTGATGAGGATGTGGAGCAACAGGAACTCTCATTCATTGTTGGTGGAAATGCAAAATAGTACAGCCACTTAAGAAGACAGTTTGGCAGCTTCTTACAAACATAGTCTTACCATATGCTCCAACAATGATGCATCTAGGTATTTATCCAAATGAATTGAAAATGTATCCTCACAAAAACCTGAACATGGATGTTTATATCAGTTGTATTCATAATTGCCAAAAACTGGAGGCAATCAAGATGTCCTCCAGTAGGTGAATGGACAAACTGTGCTACATCCAGTTTCTTTTTATGCAGTGACAAAAGGAAATGTGTTGTCAAGCCAGAAAAAGACATGGAGGAATCTTAAATGCATATTACTAGTGAACGAAGCCAAGCTGAAAATGCCACGTACTATATGGTTCCAACTATACGACATTCTGGAAAAGCCAAAACTATGGAAACAGTAAAAAGATCAGTGGTTGCCAGGAGCTGAGGAGCATTAATAGGCAGGGCACAGGGAATTTTTAGGGCAGTGAAACTCATCTGTATGATGCTGTAATCCTGCATACTTAACATTGTATATTGTCAAAATCCACAGAATGCATAACATTGAGTGAACCCTAAATTATTAGCAACAACATATCAATATTGGTTCATCACTTCTAGTAAATGTATCACATTAATACAAGATATTAATAATAGGGGAAACTGTGGTGGGGAAAGTTGAAAAGGGGTATGTGGGAACTTTTACACTATTTCCTTAATTTACCATAAACCTAAAACTGCTCTAACAGCAAATCTATTAATTTTTTTTAAAAGTAACACTAGACAATTGAAGGAAAAGTAGAAATAAGATAATTTAGTCACACGTAATCTCAACAGAAAGATACTCACAATTAGGCATAGTTCCTTCCAGTCTTTTTTTCAAATATTTATGTATATGTCCTCTTTTTTTTTTTTTTTTTAAAGAGTTGAAGTCACTCTGCTAAATTCATTCTGAAGGTTTATAGTTTGGTTTCAGTTTGGATTTTTAACCACAAAGAAAATATCCCATATGAAACATCAGTGATACCAAAAACAGATTCTTGAGGGGCCAGTTGCTATGGGAATGATTGAAAATAAATTTCATTTCACACTACACTCTAATGTATTGACCAGAAGGAAGGAAAAATATTTGGAGTAACTTAGAAGAGCAGCCAAGAAAACTTCTAATCAAGAAGAAGGAAAATACATCAGGCCAGTGTGAGGTTTCAAAGAAGCCAGTATTGCCTTGCAATTTAACTAATTAAGTTCTTCCAGCAACTGTGTCGCTGGAGGTGGAAGTACCAGGAATTGGGGTACTTGACTCTGTCTTTCTTTCACTGACAGTTTGATGGCCAAAGGCCAGCAAGTCTCCTTCTGTATGCGAGCCATCTCTGCAGGGTGGTACATGGCCAGGGGAAAAAAAAAAATCACTGTTTCCTTCCTGGAGATGCGTCAAATATTTAGCAATTTGCAAGGCCTGGACTCCAGGTGATCAGTATGGACATCACATTGGCCCTGAGCACTAGAGTGGCCCCCAGGTTAACCCTTTAGGTGCCAGATTGTCAGGCTGTCTGAAGGTTTCTTGGGAGGGACTAGGATGCCAGTGGGTAGGAGATACTCAGGGAGCTCAAGGGAGTGACACTTTTCCAACAGAATATTTTAACATGCTCAGAAGTAATAAGGCCAGATCAGTGGATGCCAACTGAATGCTGACCTTCCCACAACCAACATTTTTCTAAAAGACAGAGCTGTGTAGGGACACATCAGGGGTGGCCTCCAAGGGGAAAAGCAGAGTTGCTGTCACAAAAAGACAGCATGTCATTGTGCACAAACAGGCCCCACTTCTCACTTCAGGGAACAGCTTCAGTATCAAACAGATCTAGCTTCAAATCCCAGCTCTGCTGTGCATTACCCCAAAGTATACCATCTTTGAGCCCCAGTTTCCTCATCTCTAAAAGGGGTACAGCTGTTCTTATCTCAAGAGGTTATGATAAGGATTAAGTAAGATACACCATATAAAGTGCTAAGTTGACTAACTATACAATGTCTGGCACAGAGCAGGTACTCCGTCAAATGCAGTGGCTATCATCACCCTTACTGCCACCAGCATCAGAGGTTATTTTCTGGGCTGCAGGTTTGTTTTTTCAAAAAACAGTTCCCTTTTCCTGTCCGTATTCCAATGTAGATGCCTGGTCTACATAGAGACAGAGTTCCCTGAAGTGTGAAATATCAGGCAACAGCCTTTTTTCCAATCACTTCCTAGGACTAGCTCTGTACTCTGGAGAGAAGCAAAGACTTGGTGCCAAACCTGTCCAAATCACAAAGCTACAAAGTTATACACACTCTGGGTAATAGCTCCTCACTCCAGGCATAAGGATGTGGGATTAGAGTTGCCAAGCAGCCTCAAGGGTGGGGAAAACCCAAGATTAGATTAGACAGTGATGGATTATAAATATATAATACCATTTGCAAATGCTGTAAAACTAGACCTGGTTGTTTATTTAAGTGTAGTTAATATTTTTATATTTTGAAAAAAAATTTTATAGAGAAAACTACAAATAATCAAACATATATCTGCCCTCATCTCCCAAAAACGACAATTGCTAACATGTTATATTTATATCAAGTCCTTTTTTTGTAAAAAAAAAAAAAAAAAAAAAAAAAAAAAAGAAAAAAAACAGGAAAATTTGTTTTCTTTTAAAAGTCTTTTAAAGTCTTCTTCCCTACTCTCATCTTGATTTCTTGCCCACTCTACCAATCACTGTTATGAATCTGATCTTTATCCACTCCTGCTTTTTATTTGTTTTACCTAAATTTTCTGGGGGTTTTTCTTTGTTTTGGGGGGTTTTTGAGACAGAGTTTCTCTCTTGTTGCCCAGGCTGGAGTGCAGTGGTGCAATCTCAGCTTACTGCAACCTTCGCCTCCCAGGCTCGAGCGATTCTCCTGCCTCAGCCTTTTGAGTAGCTGGGATTACAGGTGCCTACCACCACGCCCAGCTTATTTTTGTATTTTTAATAGAGACAAGGTTTCACTGTGTTAGCCAGGCTGGTCTCATACTCCTGCGATCTCAAACTTCAGGTGATCCACCTGCCTCAGCCCCCCAAAGTGCTGGGATTACAGGCGTGTGCCACTGCTCCCACCCTGGTTTTTTTAATAGAAAGAAAATAAAAGGACACATAGAATATGTGCTAGACAATGTCTATGTGAAGAGGAGCTTCCATCCCCATGAAGCTGCTCCAAGACACACCCATTCACCTGATCCAGGAACAGCCCACGCCAATTGTAGGTAAGGCATATGAGAGTTAGGGGGAGATGAAGTTGGCAGACTCACACCCACAAACATCTATGAAGCAGTGCAGATCCGTAAGGCCACACACAGGACTCCAAAAGGCTTACCTGGGTCCAGGTGGGTGAAAGAACCCACCACAAAGTCCAGTGTTGACACAGCCAGCAGGAACAGCAACAGCAGCTGGAGGCGGATTATCCATTTGACACCTGCTAGGTTAATGCCCAGCAAGGCCAGAAGCACCGCAACTGAAATTCCTCGCACAGCCCAGATACTCCTGAGGCCCAGCAAATCCGAGATAGATTCAGCAAAGCCGGTGATGTACATGGCACCTGCAACACACTGACATGCGATTCCAGGTAGAAGGGTCAGCAAGACAGAAAGGCAAGGGCTCACAGGCAGAACTTCCCCACGCCGAGAACCCTGCTCCCCCATCGGACACATTCACTGGCACGGAGGCTCAGCTTCTGGACCAGTGCAGGGTTAAACCAGCCCTTCCCATCTGTGAACCTGCCTCAGGCCCCATTTCTACTTGTCTACATCTCAATTAAAGAACGAAGGAGGAACCCAAGCCGAGAGCTGGCTGTCAGTGGTAACGAAGATGAAAAGACTATGGGAGAAAGAAGATGGGACACTGGGCCAAAGAGGCCTCCGGATTTCTCGGTCTGAGTTATTCAAGAACTAAATATAGAACAAGAACACACAGGGGGTCCCATCTACAGAGCCTTAAAAGGGCACTGCAGTAAACCAGATTTTTCTTCATTTCTTTGTAGGTCAGTATTATTTTTTAAATTATCTAAAAGTTAGCAATAGAAAAAAAAAGTGAGTGGCACATCTTTTTCAATGTCATATGTGACAAAAGCTACCCAAGGACTATCTAGGTGAATGTACTTCATTTTGCTCACTATTTGCTATGGATTAAATGTCCCAGATTTAGTAAAGTTATGTGTTAACTTAGGGATTTTTTTTCCAGTACAGATGCAAATAACTTCTGTCCAGTGGAACATATAACCCAAAAGATTAGGATTTGTTGTCCCGTAAGACATTAACTGGTTTCGTTTGTAACCCAGCAATCTTATCCTAACATTTATTCATTCAACTGCCTATCAATTTACAAATTTGATGTCTATCCACCCAGCATCCTTCACAACTTCTCTTTAACCTCTTATTGGCTCTTCCATTAATTCATAAATTAAATAAAATCCCTGGTGAGATTTCCTATGAATATTTGATGTATAATCTTTAAAAAATAAAATGAAATCCTTGAAACATGTTATTTTATATTTGCCTTAGTGTCATGATTTTATCTTGCAGGAAATATTTGAAAGATCATTTCAAATTAAATAGTTGAAAATAACATCAGTCTCAGGTTTCCTAATTCCTCAGCCTCAGCTTCCTTCTCTCCTCGGGTTTGTCCCTTCACTGTCCCCAGGGCCAGTTGGTCACTCTCAGCACTGTAGCCCTGCCCTTGCCATTCTCTAGAAACAAATTCTATTAGGGCCTCGTTCAAGTCCCTCCTTTTCCATGAAATCTTTCTTCAACCTCCTTTTTTGGATAAATAGTAAGCTAACTGCCAGGGCCATAGAATTAATTATCTGGTTCCATATTCTGTTATCATGTCTTGCACATCAGTTTGTCTCCCCATCCCTCCACCAAGAATACAAATATCTTTAAAAATTGTTTATGGGAGAGAGATCCAAGGTGGCCGTTTAGCAGCAGCTCAGGATTGCAGCTCCCAGTGAAGGCGCAGGGAGTGAGTGGATGTCAGACTTCCAGATGAATTTTTGTTGCCCACGGACCAGGAGATTCCCAGCAGAGGAGTCCCACGGGTCGCCGGCATGACTCTTTTGGCCGGCGTGGCGGTTCTCAGTGCAGAGTATGCGGGACTGGGTGCCCTTTTGGTTGGTGTTTGGAGCTCCGGGAAGGCAGAGTTGCCCATTCAGCTGATTGAAAGGGGGACTGAGGTGGGGAGCCAGACCGGGAGATTTCTGGGCAGAAAAGCGCCATGAATCTCAGTGCTGCTGTTTCATCCGGCCCGGTGGCCTCATGGGAAATTGCATAGATCCCAGCGCCTTTTTGGCAGGCGACTGGGGTACCAGGGAGAGAATCAACTGTTCAATTAGGAAAAGAAAAAAAGGGGGCTCCAAGGCAGGGAGCCAAGTGATCGGGCTCGGCTGGTCCCACCCCTACAAAAAAACAGCAATAGGAAACGCTGACGGTTGAGAGTTTCACAGCAAACACAGCTGAACCCGGAAAGGTCTAGCTCTGTAGGGGAGGGGTATCCATAGAAGGAAAACAAAGAAACAGAAATAACATCACCACCAACAAGCTGGAAGTCCACTCAGAGACCCAATCTGAAAGCCAGCAATTACAAAGATGACAAGTGGATAAATCCACAAAGATGGGAAGAAACCAGCACAAAAAGGCTGAAAACATCCAAAATCAGAATGCTTCTCCTCCTTTAGGGGATCGCAGCTCCTCATCAGCAAGGGAACAAGGCCTGATGGAGAATGAGTGTGATGAATTGTCAGAATCAGGCTTTAGAAGGTGGATAATAAGAAACTTTTGTGAGCTAAAGGAACATGTTCTAATCCAATGCAAAGAAACTAAGAACCTTGAAAAAAGGTTTGACAAAATGCTAATGAGAATAGACAATTTAGAGAAGAATATAAGTGAATTAATGGAGCTGAAAAGCACAATACAAGAACTTCACGAAGTATGCACAAGTTTTAACAGTCAAATTGACCAAGCAGAAGAAAGGATATCAGAGGTCGAGGACCAACTCAGTCAAATAAAACGAGAAGACAAGATTAGAGAAAAAAGGGTAAAAAGGAATGAGCAAAGTCTCCAAGAAATATGGGACTATGTGAAAAGACCTAATCTACGTTTGATAGGTGTACCTGAATGTGACGAAGAGAATGAATCCAAACTGGAAAATATTCTTCAGGATATTATTCAGGAAAACTTTCCCAACCTAGCAAGGCAGGACAATATTCAACTCCAGGTAATACAGAGAACAACACAAAGATATTCCTCAAGAAGAGCAACCCCAAGGTGCATAATTGTCAGATTCACCAGGGTTGAAATGAAGGAGAAAATGCTAAGGGCAGCCAGGGAGAAAGGTCAGGTTACCCGCAAAGGGAAGCCTATCAAACTCACAGCAGATCTCTCAGCAGAAACCCTACAAGCCAGAAGAGAGTGGGGGCCAATATTCAACATCCTTAAAGAAAAGAACTTTCAACCCAGAATTTCATATCCAGCCAAATTAAGCTTCATAAGTGAAGAAAAAGTAAAATCTTTTGTGAACAAGCAAGTACTCAGAGATTTCATCACCACCAGGCCTGTTTTACAAGAGCTTCTGAAAGAAGCACTACACATAGAAAGGAACAACCAGTATCAGCCATTCCAAAAATATACCAAAAGGTAATGAGCATTAACATAATGAAGAATCTACATCAACTAATGGGCAAAACAGCCAGCTAGCAGTATTTAACGGCAGTATTAAACTCACATATATTATTATTAATCCTAAATTTAAATCAACTAAATGCCCCAATCAAAAGACACAGACAGGCAAATTGGATAAAAAGCCAAAACCCATCGGTATGCTACATCCAGACCCATCTCACATGCAAGGATACACAAAGACTCAAAACAAAGGCATGGAGGAAGATTTACCAACCAAACGGAGAGCAAAATAAATAAATAAAAAGCAGGAGTTGCAATTCTCATCTCTGATAAAATAGACTTTAAAGCAACAAAGATCAAAAGAGGCAAAGAAAGACATTACATAATGGTAAAAGGATCAATGCAACAAGAAGAGCTAACGATCCTAAATATATACGCACCCAATACAGGAGCACCCAGATACATAAGGCAAGTTCTTAATGACTTATAAAGAGACTTAGACTCCCACACAATAATAATGGGAGACTTTAACATCACATTGTCAATATTAGACAGATCAACGAGACAGAAAATTAACAAGGATATCCAGGACTTGAACTCAGACCTGGAACAAGTAAACTTAATAAACATTTACAGAACTCTCCACCCCAAATCCATAAAACATACATTCTTCTCAGTACCACATCACACCTACTCTAAAAGTGACTACATAATTGGAAGTAAATCACTCCTCAGTAATTGCATAGCATTTCACAGGCTTAAATGAAATATTGGCTGGCTACTTGTTTGTTATTTTCCTCCCTTATTCCTTCCTGTCTCCATTGTTAAGCACAATTATTGGCATAAAAGAGGTTTTTAATACCCATTTTCAGACTGCATTCTAGCCTGGGCAATAAAGCAAGACTCTCGTTCTCTCTCCCTCTTTCTCTTCCTCTTTCTTTCTCTCTTTCATTCTTTTCTTTCTTTCTTTCTCTTACTTTTTCAAAAAAAAAATTATGCTGATTGCACCTCTTCAAATACTTGCATGTGCTAAGTATGTTGCAAGCATTCAGTAAATACTTTGTGATATGCTGATCATATAAAAGGTGCTCTGGGAAGCAGTCTCCATGTAGTTCCAGTTGTTTCATGTACAGGCCAGAGGGTAATACAACTTCTGGATCTGAGAGGAGCTTGTGAACAAGGCCCCGTTCTTCAATGAGATCATTTTGCAACTAGAAACATATCATTTTTGTCAGCATTCCCCACATTTACACACTTAGGTTAAACAGTTATTCCAGCATCCCATAATGATAAACATTTCTGTCCATATTAGGGTGGGGTGGAAAGCCCAAGAAATGTGAGGGAAATACAATCATCTTTGAGAGAGAGAGAGAGAGAGAGACACTAACGTTTTCCTATATTCATCTTAAAACGCAAGCTTCCTCTTTACTAAACACCGAGAGTGTGATGTGTGATAGTGAAGTTATTTCATCAGTATTTGGCCAGGTCAACAGGACTCTTCATGGTCAAAATTATCTGAGCAAAATAAATAAATAAAAATTTAAAAAACAAATAAATGACAAAAATGTAGCAATAAATACCATTTATATTGGCACCAGCTTCCCAGGTATCCGGTGTCTATGACATGCAGAAGATGGATGATGTCATGGGACCATTTGCATCTGAAGCTTCCAAACTGATTTTTTTTCCTAGAAGTAGAACAATTTGCTCATGCAAAGTGAGCCAAGCTGTAAATGCTGCCTTTCATTCCCAGTAACTCCCGTGGAGCTCATCTTTCTGGTTTGTACCTAAAATTGTCTTTTACCCCAAAGATGCCAGCAACAGGGGTAGGGCAGGATAGGGGTAGCGGAAGCTCTCCGGGATGCTTATAAGGGCATAGTGGTCAGAAGCATGGACTTCGAAGCCAAAATATCTAAGGCCAAATCCCGGCTGAC